AAGAATGAAGTAATTAAGATAACTTTAAAGTCCTACTTGTAGTCCTGTCATGATAATCTTGTTTCTAGCTGAATAAAATCATCCTCTGGATCGCTTTTTAAACCGTGTTTCATATTATTTTTTGCTTCCTGTCATAATATTGTCTTACCAGTGAAACAACTGTCCTCGACAAGTCTGCCAAGTGGAAAATTGATTTGGTCTTATGTTGACCCCTATTTTGTTCTGGTTTAGCATTTCATTTTCATTTAACAAAAGGTATACTATTTTAGTTAACAAATGTTTCTTTCTTTAACTAACCAACTATTGCAGCTTTTTCCTTAGTAGGCATAAACTACTGTCAGGGCTTACCTCAGCTGCTACAGCAGCTGTGAATATGCCCTGCTGATCTCATGGAAAAGCTGGAGCTAGGAAACTAAGATGTCATGAAAATAGCTGAGGATGAGGTTTCGAGAGAAATATTCCTGTAATTTGTTGGAATTGGGGAAGTGAACAGTGACAGATTTATAGACTAGGTACACTAATTAAAAAGCAACTTACTCTAATATATTAATCTATGAAATGACAGCACCAGAGAGAACTGCTCTGTTTTGTGCACAAGCATGGGAACGCTGAAGTGCCCTTCTGCTGTAATGACAGAATTTTATATTGTATACAAAATTCAAGAATAATGTTGAGCAAGAAGCAATTGAAGGATTACTTCCTTCTGGTGTGAAATATATGGGGAGATATTTTGCTATAAACTGTATGTTTGTGTGCAAGACAGAAAGAAACAAAAAGTTCTAATTTGTTCTTTTCCTTCTCTTTTCATTGTTGTTTTTTGTTTACATGGCTGTGGTAGAATTCAGCTAAGGAGCTAGAACAGAAAAATCAAATAAAGCATTACTTAATCATTTCCACAACTACTTCTAACTAAATTTTTGCTCATATCAGTGTAACATCTTGGGATTTTCATGCTTTGAGATTTATCTGTGGAATTCCTTTGTATAAAAGTTTCTTATATTGGATAATTGGTACAGCTTCCTTGCATCCTCCACCAATAACCTCAATAGATGGGGCCACTGAGAAGACAAAAAGAACGTATTTCCGATGTGCATTTAAAACACCTCCAATATTACATCTGTATTCTTACTTCAGCAATGACTTAGACGGATGTCTTGATAAATGACAAGATGACAGTTAAATGAAAATAACGGAATAATTTTGTTTTTTTACAAACATCACTTTAGTTTGCTTTTGAATACAGAACAGTAGAACTTAAATTCTATATGTGTAAGAAAATACTAAGTCTATATAAAGCAGAGGAATAATAATGCTTTTCAGGAAGAATGTGAAACTTTAAAAACACCAAAATGAACAGTTCTGTAGATGTTTAATGAAACAATAGTTGAATCTCTTATAGTTTTATTTATTTATTTGCTGTTTCTTCACTAAACTTTCTCCCCTGCCCCCCCCGCCCCCAACTTAATGGATAATATGTCCTTGAATATTCTCCTTATAGGCATTTAAATATCTGCTGAAGTTCCTAAGGCTGCAATTTGCTTGCAATCTTCCATGTCTTTCAAATTCATTGTAAACACATACAGTCAGATATTCAGCTCTATAAAAGCATCACATGAAGTCAGCGGAGCTACATGGAGTTTCTTCAATTGAGAGTCTCGCTCGTGATATTTGTATCTCCACTTTTCCTGAACCCAAACTTGTTTTCACTATATAATGACGATTTTTTCACCATTCTGATCACAAATTGATATTAATTGCCTGATTTTTACTAAAGTTCACGTTCACAATTATGTGAGAAGGATTCATGTAATATGGGTGTGAACTTGACAAAAATCTTTAATCAAAACTCCTTTCATAAACTATTTTTCTAACAAAATGTTTACAAAAGGAAAGGATTTATTTTTAACAAATATAATGGCGACACAGGCTGTCGTGCACAAGACTGTTGTTCATGGCCAGGGAAGATGACAAAGACTGCTCTAGGTTAAAAATCTATATTTACTGGTTAGAAAGGTCACACTTGGAAATGTCCATGTGCATTGGTTTTTGCCCTCAAAGACTTCATCTTCAGTTGCCTTATTGGAGAAGTCCCTTGTAATGCACGAAGGTGTATGTATTGTTTGAAAGAATTATTCCACTATGTTAGTAGCCATAAACCATATACAGAAATGAGGTAGAGTGAAAGGGTATGATGGAAATAATCTATTTAATTTACTGTAAATTATTTTACTTATTTTTACTGTTATTTAGCGTAATCACAAGTAAAAACCAGGATAAGTGTCGTGGTTTAACCTGGCAGACAGCCAATACCACGCAGCCGCTCGCTCACTCCCCCTCCGCAGTGGGACGGGGAGAGAATCGGAAGGGTAAGAGTGAGAAAAACTCGTGGGTTGAGATAAAGACAGTTTAATAGAACAGAAAAGGGAAAATAATAATAATAATAATAGAATATACAAAAATGAGTGATGCATAATGCAACTGCTCACCACCCGCGCTGACCGATAACCAAGTAGCGATCGCTACTTCCTGGATCATGCCTGCCATTCATATACTGAGCATGATGTCATATGGTATGGAATATCCCATTGGCCAGCTGGGCCAGCTGTCCTGGCTTTGTTCCCCCCCAGCACCTGTTTTGTTTTGTTTTGTTTTTTTTAAGCTGAATGTCCTTGACTAGCGGGGTACTTAGCAACAACTGAAAACATCAGTGCGTTATCAACATTCTTCTCATACTAAATCCAAAACACAGCACTAGGAAGAAATTTAACTCTATCCCAGATGAAACCAGGACAATAAGATAAGAGCTGGAGAAGAAAACTGAAGTGATTGACTTTGCATTACAATATTTTTTTATGTTCAATTAGGAAGCTACAGCAAACTTGGATTCATGGCATTGTCTCTAGATATCTAATTTACTTTGTAATAGTAAATCAGTAACTAAACCATTAAATGCTGACTCTGAGCAGATTTTCTGTGTGCTGGGTTTCTTTAGCTGTAAGTGTTCCCAGATGAAAAGCTTGTTTGT